GTTGGCGAGGATGTGGAAAAAGGGGAACCCTCCTACACTGCTGGTAGGAATGTAAACTAGTTCAACCATTGTGGAAAGCACTATGGAGTTTCCTCAAAAAACTCAAAATAGAAATACCATTTGACCCAGGAATTCCACTCCTAGGAATATACCCTAAGAATGCAGCAGCCCAGTTTGAAAAAGACATATGCACTCCTATGTTTATTGTAGCACTCTTTACAATGGCCAAGAAATGGAAGCAACCTAAGTGTCCATCAGTAGATGAATGGATAAAGAAGATGTGGTACGTATACACAATGGAATATTATTCAGCCATAAGAAGAAAACAAATCCTACCATTTGCAACAACATGGATGGGGCTAGAGGGTATTATGCTCAGTGAAATAAGGAAGACAAGTATCAAGTGATTTCACTCATCTGTGGAGTATAAGAACAAAGCAAAAACTGAAGGAACAGAACAGCAGCAGACTCACACAACCAAAGAATGGACTAACAGTTACCAAAGGGAAAGGGACTGGAGAGGATCGGTGGGAAGGGAGGGATAAGGGGTAAATGGGGCATTACGATTAGCACACATAATGTAGGGGGTTGGGGACATGGGGAAGGCAGTATATACAGAGAAGACAAGTAATGACTCTATAGAATCTTACTACACTCATGGACAGTGACTGTACTGGGGTATGTGGGGGGGACTTGATAATAGTGGGAGTCTAGTAACCATAATGTTGTTCAACTAATTGCACATTAACGATATCAAAATTAAAATAATAATAAAAAAAACTAGAACATATTTGCCTGGAAGAAAAATGAAAATATGCTGTCAAAACCTGTGAGATGTGACTAAAGCAGAATTTAGAGAAAAATTTTTATTAAATGTATACATCAGGAAAGAAGCTATCAAATCAATGTGCTAAGCTTTCTACCTTAAGATACTAGACAAATTAAAACCAAAACGAAGAGAAGAACTAATAATGGTAAGATCAGAAATCAATAATGAAAGAGACAATATTCCTACAGAAACTATACACATAAAAGAATAATAAGGCAGTAATGTTCAAGAACAACTTTATGCTTTACATTCAACTAAGCAGATGAAATGTATAAATTCTTAAAAGAAATTACCAAAGGTCACTGAAAAAGAAATATGTAACCTAAAAAATCCTGTATTTATTAAATTGAGTTCATAGCTAAAAGCCTTCCTAGAGCAATAAGCTCCAAATTCAATCCAGTAATATGTAAAAAAGGTATTACATTATGACCTGTGGGGTATATCCCAGGAACACAGGTTGACTCCACCTATGAAAAATCCATCAACAGAATTCACCATATCAATATATTAAAGAAAAAGAGTGATTATCAGTAAATGTAGAAAGAAATTTAATAAAATTCAATATCCATTCATGATCAAACCATGAGAAACTAGAAACACAAGAGAACAATCCTCAACCTGTATTAATAGCTAATATCATGCTTATTATTATGGTCAAATACTAAAATGCTTCCCACTAAAACCAGGAAAGGACAAGGACGTCTGATCTCACCACTCTATTCAAAATCATATGGGAGGAAAAAATGTAAATTTATTAGAAGAAAACATAGGGGAAAAATTTCATGACATTGGGTTTGGCAACGATTTCTTGGAAATAATTCCAAAAGCACAGGCAAAAGAAAAAATAAACTGTAGTCATCAAATTAAAAACTTTTGTGCACAAAAGGGCACTCTCATCAGTTAAAGGTAATCTATGGAATGGAAGAAAATATTTGCAAACCATAAATACGAAAAGGGATTAATATTTAGAATATAAAAGGAACTCCTACCATTCAACAACAAAAAACAAACCACCTCATTAAAAACCAGGCAAAAGACTTGCATAGGCATTTCTCCAAAAATGATAAACAAATGGCCAATAAGTACATGAACAGCTCATCACTAGTCATTAGAGAAATGCAAATTAAAAACGCAATGTGATACCACCTCAAACACATTCACATTAGGGTTGCTATTACCAAAAAAAAAAAGAAAAAGAGAAAGAGCAAGTGTTGGTGAGGATGTGAAGAAATTGAACACCTGTGCATTACTGGTGGATATGTAAAATGGTGCAACCCTTGTGGAAAACAGACTAGCAGTTCCTCAGTAAATTTATTTACAGAGTTACCTTGTGATGCAGTAATTCCACTTCTGGGTATCTACCCAAAAGAACCAAAAGCAATGACTTGAAGAGCTAATTGTACACCCATGTTCACAGCAGCACTATTCACAATATAGCCAAAAGATGATAACAACTCAAATGTCCAATGTCAGATGAATAGATAAACAACATGTGGTATATACATACAACAGAATATCCAGTCTTAAAGAGGAAGAAAATTCTAATACATACTATCACAAGGGTGAATCCTGAAGACATTATGTTAGTGATATCAGTCATTCACAAAAAGACAAATACTGTTGGGTTTCACTTATAAGAGGTGTCAAATTCATAGAGACAGAAAGTAGAATGGGTGCCTAGGGCTGGAGAAGGGAAGAATGGGGAGTTCTTGTTATTAGGTACAGATTTTCAATTTGCGAAGATGAAAGAACTTCTGAAAATAGATGGTGACAGTTGTACAACAATACAAACATACTTAACACCAGTGAACGTACACCTAAAATTTGTTAATATAGTCAATGTTATGTTATGTACATTTTCCTGTTAAAAAAATCATTTAAAATCCTGCCCAATATAATAAGGGAGAAAAATGAAAGAAGAGTCACATGGCTCAGAAATGAAGGAAAAAGACTCTACTTGCAGATGACATGAATGTCTAAGTAGAAAATCCCACAGAATCTACAAAAGAGCTCCTAGATCTAATGAATAATTTTAGCAAGGTCCCAGGATACAAGATCAACATAAAAAAATTAATTGTACTTCTGTATAATAGCACTGAATATGGAAATTAAAATTTAAACAGTACAATTTATAAACTACTGCACTAAAATCTAACAAAAATGTACAAATTCTGTCTGCTAATTACTAAACACTAATTTTTTAATTGAAGTATCATTGATATACAATCTTATATTGGTTTCAAGTGGTTCAATAGTTACCATATTATTAAATCCTCACCCCCACTAGTGCAGTTACTATCTGTCAACATAGAAAGATGTTACAGAATCACTGGCTATATACTCCATGCTCTACTACTATCCTCCTGACCAACTTACATGAAGAATTTTTGTACCCTTTCGTTCCCCTTTCCCACCCCCTTCCCCATGGTAACTACCAATCATTTCTCAGTGTCTGAGTCTTCTATTTTAAAACTCTGATTTCTTTAAATTAAAAAAAAAAATCCATTTCAATAAATGGTGAGATAGATCATGTTAATGTATTGGAAGACTCCACATTAAGGTGGCTATTCTTTCTAAATTATTCAATAATTCACTGCAACCCCTATCAAAATGCCAGCAGGATTTTTTACAGAAATCAGCAAGTGGACTCCAAAATTTCTATGGAAATGTTGGCTCAGTTGTAAGTCACCTGGTCATTCCTCTCTAAACTCTCTCCCTAGACAATCTTGTCCATAACCATGGGTTCAATCACTACCTCTACCAATAATATATTTTGAACATAAACTTCACTTCTTGAGTAGTTCTCATTTGAGAAGCAAGTTGCAGAGAAGGGAGGTAACTAGAAAATAATTCAACAAATGTGTTGATTATTAGAAGCAGTAATAGTTAACTTAAAAAGGGGGTTTCAAAGAACATGCCAGATGATGGAATCATAAGGAGACTAAAGGAAGGACTGCCTTTTTTCAGTAAGACTCACAATTACAAGTAATCGTCTAAAATGTGCAAATATTCTAAATATTTAGGATGGACCATTTGATGAGAGACATGTTGAAGTATCCTAGATATGACTGGTATTTTCTCCAAAGACTGTCATTAGACTTGCTGAGGGCTGTGCTTGGGACACAGACTCCCTGGTGTTTAAATCAAACAGCAAAGGCCCCAGATGACACCTCATAAATTAATACAACAGCTGAGAAGGCCTTTCTTCATGTGGGAACAGTAAAATGTAATGAAGGGCACTGATTAGATCATGGTTTTATGATCCACATATATCTTACTTTGAAATGATAAAATGATAGTAAAGAATATAGATAAATGTGTTTTAATTTAGCACAATCTATCTTGAATACTTTTCAACAAATACTAAGTTTCTAAATTTTTGGAGGTGTTTATAGTAAAAAAACTTTGACATCTGGCTTAAAGTCAGCTTGTTAAAGCCAAAATCCATTTCCACCAATTAAACCCTCCCCAACCCAGATATTCTACACCTCTGAAATCAACAAACTTAAATGGTTCAGTCTCTGACAGTAACTTCCTTCCTTTGTGGCCTCACTAATTCTCAACTACAAACTGTCAACAACACTAGACACCTCCCTAGCACCCATTCTACTTATCTTATATAACACTGGGTCCTATAATAGCCTATTCTAAAACCTTGATTTCTATTATCTTACCAGTGACCTACTAATTGCCTAATTCAAGGATACTTTTGTATCTTATCATTTCTAAACAGTGAAAATGTCACACCCCTTCCAACTTGAAACTGTCTTGCTCTCAATTTTATGAAATCTCTCTTGGTTTTCTTTCTACTTTAATCATAGTTGAGTTTAGGTGTTATCAACCTGTGAACTCACTGTATCCAAACATATCTATATCATCTTGGTTCCTCTGGTTTTTCCTGCCACTGGACTACGAAGTCCTTAAGAAAAGGAAAGGCATCTTTCAATTCTATAATTCCAGTTCTGATAATAGGCATCTAATACACTATTAGTAACAATAACTTAGGAAGTACATAATAAATGAAAGCTAAGGGTCAGATTCTATAACTATTTAATTTTATTAAGGTACTATTAAACTGCTGAGGTAATTTGGGTGATACAGACTGACTGCTCTTTTGGTGAAATTTCATTTCACACAAAAAAATCCACAAACAATGAACTTCAAAACATACCTAGCCACTGTTGCTGAGATATTTCACACCAGTATTTTCTCACTGAAAGAATGTCCTTCAACAGTATGTTGCTACAGTCTGCTCCATAAATGATACCACTCCAGGAATCTTTCATTATATCCATGATATAATTCAAGAGGTCTTGACATTTTAGCCTGGGTGCTCCTATTTAAAAATAAATAAATAAAACTTAAGAGAAGTAAATTAAGGAGACTTGGAATGTCAGCTATATAAATAATTTCATTTGGGAAATTACTATTAACTAACCTTCTTCTCAGAACAGAGATTAGCAAACAATGACCCAGCAAAATCCAACCAGCTGCCTGTTTTTGGAAATAAAGTATTGGAACACACCCATTTCTATTCATTAACATATTGTTGATGTCTACTTTCACACTACAACAGCAGAGTTGGGTAGTTGAGACAGGGACTAACTATTTAGCCAGCAAGTTTAAAACTGCAATGTTAAAAATATTTATTGTCTAGTCCTTTTACAAGTTTGCCAATCCCTGTAGGAATACAAAGCAAAAACAATCATTTATCCTATACTTAGTAATTCACAATTTCTGGCACTAGACCTTAAAATATTTAAAGTTTCTTAGTACTTTTTTTTAATAAAATGAACTCCTTAGAGTAACATAAGATCATAAAGAGGATATTTATTTTGAAAAGCAAAATTACTTCCAAGTCCTATTAACAGCATTTATGGCACATAGATATGAAAGGTTATAATTTTTACACTTTTATTAATTTACTGTAATTTATTATGATGTTTATTAAAATTCAGAGTTATTTTTGCAGGTAACAAAAATACATTGAAAAACTATTCCTTATTTTCAGTAAATTACATTGATGTCACAGTTGAGATTTTTATCTTATTTCAACATTAACAATCTTAAAATTGCATACAACATTTTTTGTTATAAACTATGATCAGGGCCTAAGTCATGTATAACTGAATATATCCTAGTTTAGGATTTTCTTATGATGAGACTGTCATATTCAGAAGTATCAGGCTATGGTAAATAAATATACACTGATATAACTGGACAATCATTTTTACTTATGGCTTACATCACAATTTTAAGCATTTGGCTAATGATGGAATGCACAATTTATATGATCCTATGCTGTAACACCTTGTATGTATCTCTCTCCCGTTTAGTCCTTATAGCATTTTCTTATCTATAACATCTATTACATCCTTAAGGAAAGGAATTAATTAATCTCTATATACCATCATATAGCCTGGTAACTATCCTAATAGATGTTTAATAAACATTTGTTCAATAATCACATAAATTTCTAACAGGATGAAATCATACTTTGCTAAGCCCTTAATTCCAATATATTTTCTTCCTCTGCCAAATTTGAGAAATGTTTCAAGAATTATGCTGATATTCTCCTCTAAAAAATCTTCCTCAAAAGGCCAATTAATTTGGATAAAAAGACTTTAAGGAAACTCATGGAACTTAACATTTTTCACAGCTGGGGTTTGTATTATCCAGGTTCTATGTCTTGTCTGTGCAGAAACAGACAAATGCCTCCACAAAGGAATGAACTGGTTTCCTCCCAGCCGCCTCTTTTTTTCTAATCTCCCTTTCTTTCATCATACCCTGAATACCAATACTAAAGCAAGCCATGCGTTTAAATTCAGATCAACTCTCCAACCCTTTGAAAAACCAACTGAAGAAGTCAGATGACATAATAGTAGTGTTCTGGTTTTGCTCTGAGATTAAAGATGTTTACAAAGTCAAAAGTGAAACAGAAACCTTTTATTTAAAAGCACCCCTTTCAACCATTTAAATGATCTTACATTTATAAATTCATCCACTTATTCCCATAAGTCAATATACTGGTATTTTCAAATGTGATCTCCATTGCTCATTTTGCAACTGAAGGTTTTTCTCACTGGAAAGTGAAATAATAAACTGCAAACTTTTCTGATAGGCTACAAATGGGCTTGGTGTCTTTCACTCACAAACTCTGTAAAGGCATATTAAGCTCTATTAAGCTCTACTAATGTTAGTAGCCAAAACAAATTTTAATGGATGCAGGGCTATCATACAGGGCAAAAGCAGGTGCAGAATATTTTAGGGTAGCTTTCCTTTGTCTCTGCTGGAGTCCCTGACAAGAGCTTGTACTATCGATCCATACAAACTACCATCTCAGAGGAGCTGGAAAACTAGGTTTTCTGAACCACTGTTTTTTAGACCCAAGTCTCATACCTAATTCTGAAATATTACTAACAATCTGTGTCCTACTCAAAATGTTTACTAACGTTGGGCTTTTCTGACTCTTAAACTAAACTTATTACATAGCCACATCCTTATCTGCAAAGAGCAACCAGTCTGAGCTGGTTGAGACAGGGACTAACTATTTAGCCAGCAAGTTTAAAACTGCAATGTTAAAAATATTTATTGTCTAGTCCTTTTACAAGTTTGCCAATCCCTGTAGGAATACAAAGCAAAAACAATCATTTATCCTATACTTAGTAATTCACAATTTCTGGCACTAGACCTTAAAATATTTAAAGTTTCTTAGTACTTTTTTTTAATAAAATGAACTCCTTAGAGTAACATAAGATCATAAAGAGGATATTTATTTTGAAAAGCAAAATTACTTCCAAGTCCTATTAACAGCATTTATGGCACATAGATATGAAAGGTTATAATTTTTACACTTTTATTAATTTACTGTAATTTATTATGATGTTTATTAAAATTCAGAGTTATTTTTGCAGGTAACAAAAATACATTGAAAAACTATTCCTTATTTTCAGTAAATTACATTGATGTCACAGTTGAGATTTTTATCTTATTTCAACATTAACAATCTTAAAATTGCATACAACATTTTTTGTTATAAACTATGATCAGGGCCTAAGTCATGTATAACTGAATATATCCTAGTTTAGGATTTTCTTATGATGAGACTGTCATATTCAGAAGTATCAGGCTATGGTAAATAAATATACACTGATATAACTGGACAATCATTTTTACTTATGGCTTACATCACAATTTTAAGCATTTGGCTAATGATGGAATGCACAATTTATATGATCCTATGCTGTAACACCTTGTATGTATCTCTCTCCCGTTTAGTCCTTATAGCATTTTCTTATCTATAACATCTATTACATCCTTAAGGAAAGGAATTAATTAATCTCTATATACCATCATATAGCCTGGTAACTATCCTAATAGATGTTTAATAAACATTTGTTCAATAATCACATAAATTTCTAACAGGATGAAATCATACTTTGCTAAGCCCTTAATTCCAATATATTTTCTTCCTCTGCCAAATTTGAGAAATGTTTCAAGAATTATGCTGATATTCTCCTCTAAAAAATCTTCCTCAAAAGGCCAATTAATTTGGATAAAAAGACTTTAAGGAAACTCATGGAACTTAACATTTTTCACAGCTGGGGTTTGTATTATCCAGGTTCTATGTCTTGTCTGTGCAGAAACAGACAAATGCCTCCACAAAGGAATGAACTGGTTTCCTCCCAGCCGCCTCTTTTTTTCTAATCTCCCTTTCTTTCATCATACCCTGAATACCAATACTAAAGCAAGCCATGCGTTTAAATTCAGATCAACTCTCCAACCCTTTGAAAAACCAACTGAAGAAGTCAGATGACATAATAGTAGTGTTCTGGTTTTGCTCTGAGATTAAAGATGTTTACAAAGTCAAAAGTGAAACAGAAACCTTTTATTTAAAAGCACCCCTTTCAACCATTTAAATGATCTTACATTTATAAATTCATCCACTTATTCCCATAAGTCAATATACTGGTATTTTCAAATGTGATCTCCATTGCTCATTTTGCAACTGAAGGTTTTTCTCACTGGAAAGTGAAATAATAAACTGCAAACTTTTCTGATAGGCTACAAATGGGCTTGGTGTCTTTCACTCACAAACTCTGTAAAGGCATATTAAGCTCTATTAAGCTCTACTAATGTTAGTAGCCAAAACAAATTTTAATGGATGCAGGGCTATCATACAGGGCAAAAGCAGGTGCAGAATATTTTAGGGTAGCTTTCCTTTGTCTCTGCTGGAGTCCCTGACAAGAGCTTGTACTATCGATCCATACAAACTACCATCTCAGAGGAGCTGGAAAACTAGGTTTTCTGAACCACTGTTTTTTAGACCCAAGTCTCATACCTAATTCTGAAATATTACTAACAATCTGTGTCCTACTCAAAATGTTTACTAACGTTGGGCTTTTCTGACTCTTAAACTAAACTTATTACATAGCCACATCCTTATCTGCAAAGAGCAACCAGTCTGAGCTGGAGTCCCTTCTAAACAAACATTTCTGCTTCTAGGTTTTCAGAACTGCGTGGAGCCCTTTTCCTTATACAAGTCTACAAAGATCCTGCATTTTGGTTAAAAAATATCAACTTTTTAAAATATCAACTGTATCAGTTTGAAATGGCAGATATGTGGCTCATCAAGAGCAAAAAATGGTATTTTTCTTAATAATAAGCACAGTATAAGTTAAGAGTGGATTTTGACTGCTTAAGAAAGCTAATGTGATCTTAGAATGAATTTGTAGAAGTATATAATAAAAAATGGCCAAGATATGGAGCCTCAGAAGGTAGAAGCATTAACAAAAGGAGAAAGGTTTTCATTACCATTAAAGCTATTCAGAGAGAAAAAAAAAACCTCAAAAGGTATGTTTAATCATTAAGGCTACCTACCTGCTAGGGACACATACAGATGGGGATCCAAGAGGAATGGGTAGTTGAAATAGCAATTTTTAATCCTTTCAACCCTCAGATTCTATCATTTCATGCTGCATAAGTTCCTCTAAATATTTGAACATCTAGTATTATAAAAAACCACTGTATGTACTAGAAATCAGAGTTACCACTCAACTTTTAACTCAGCATATTCAGACCAAAATCATGCAACAAAAATCTATTAAGCTAGTATTTATAATAAATACATAACAGCACTTACTTTTGTTTGCACATTTGATGAAATATTTGACCAAGCTATTGATTTCTTGCATCTTTTTCTGCCTAATGGCCTGTGTTGAGGCTGATACACTTGGTTTTGCTGTTTTCAAACATTCTGTTTCCTTCTGAATATATTTCTGTAAAAATCTTCAAGAAAATAAAATGGAATTTCAGGAACTAATTAGATGCTCAAATTATTGTGATAATTCCAGAAGTCCTTTATGCCATCAGAAAGAATATCATTTAAATCACATTGCTTCAATGTACCAGCTCAATGAAACAATTACATTTCTCATTCAAGCCCTAAGCCCCATGACAGTAATTTACAGTCTGGTCTGCCCAGCTCTTCATCTATAACTTTCATTTATAGTGCTATTAAGGGCTCTCAATTCTCTCTCACCTATTATTCTGTACATGACCTGCCTCTTTTCTAGGCAGTTGTAACATTTTTAGCCCTAATATGAAGCCTGCATAGAAGACAGTCATAATTAGTTGGGAATACCAGGTGCATATTTGGCCTACCTGAGTGGCTAATGAAAAATAGCACTTATCTTTAGCTTACAACTTTATTCGTGGTATCTGAAATAAACTAAGTAACCAAAGGAAATGAAGCATACATTTTTCTTGTTAACTGCAGTCCACCTAGTACCAAGTAAGAGCTAAAAAATGTCCTAAACACTCAAGAATAAATACTCATACTTCCCCTTAGCTGCAAATGTTTCCAATTCTCTCAGTACTCCACATTAATTTAAAATATTTTATTCATCTTTCCTAAGTCTTACAATCTATTTCTAGTTATAAATGGATTTTATAGTTGAAAATGCTGTCTTCCTGTAAAAATGCATCAGTTCTTTTTGCCACTCCAGTCCAGCAATCATCTTTCAAATGCCTAAGTTTTGTGTTTTAACTACATTCATATGGAAATATTCTAAAATTCCTTTTGCTCTTTTATTATTATTTAACATATGGCAGTTTCTCAGAGAAATATTTAAAGATGTCAAAGTAATAATGAAGGACTTGTAACTTATTTTTATACTTTAAATTCTCTCTAATCTGAGCAAGACATGTATGAGATATCTTATTAAACAAATGATTTAAAATTTTTAACTTTTTCTATATGCACATCCTTAAAAAACTATGTTAATAAATATTAAACATCAACTTCATATTCAAGGCACATACAGGAAGCAAAAATAAGACCTATATAATCAAAAATACATACAGGAAGCAAAAATAAGACCTACATAATCAAAAATAGTATCACAACAGAAAGAAAAACAAAAGAGAAAAATATAGACAGTAAAAAAAATGGAATGGGATACCTAAAAACAGCATCCCAATTCAAGTATTTTCCTTGTTTGGAATCTGAATGTCGATCTAAATGTTGAACAGTTTCAGGATCACGAATCAAGCGCTTAAATTTCTCCACTTCTTTCTGAAAATCAAAGAACATAATAATGGGTTACTGATCACACAACTGTTTCAAGGAAAGATTAAATCTCAGTAATTTACTACCCTTCGTTCTGTAGCTCTATCGTGTTCTAGATGACGGCAGCAAATAAGCAGATCATTAAGTACTAGACTCATGGTTCAGAATTTCAGAAAACACACCGCTGTCTGTAAAAAAAAAATACATATATAAAACTATACAAAAAAAACTGTATCATACTGTGGATAAAAATACAAAACATATAATTTACTTTCTTGTTCTGAGAACTTGTACATGGGGCTTAAGAAACATGACTTTTAAATTGAAATATAAAAGATGAGTAAAGACAGCCACGCAAAAAATAAGGAAAAGGGTATTTAAGGATTTAATACTGACCCTCTGAACTATTTGTAAAGCACCCTTTCTTATATGTAGTGACTTCTCATTTCGCTGAACCAAAAGATTAAATTGCTTCTATTTTGGAATTGATACACAGTAGGTTATCACAGCTACTAAGCTTTGACTAGCATCTACATCTTAACTGGCTTTATAGCTCTCTGTGAATAAACAAAAATAGGAAGAGAATGATATTCCTGTTTTAAAAGGAAATTAAAGAAATTATATATAGCGATATTCCTTGCAAATGTCAAAGGTCAACTATATTTTACTATGCCTTAATGCCACTGCAATTGCCCTCCTCCTTTTAGGTTTTCTAATGTAATCAAACCTTCTTTTGACAACCTTTCTAAAAAACCATGTAAGAAAAGGATTTCGTTTCAATCATTTTGAGTTTTTTTATGAAGCTTCATTTTTGTTAATTACAAATGTTTATAAACAAAGAAAAATTGTACATTTGTATATTATTATATCTACACGTAAAAAAATTTCAAGAGGGAATAAAAAAGGTGGGAACATCCTTTTCTAATACATCTCAATAAATTTTCCTCAATCTTTCCAGATTATGTTTCTCTGCCTGTTTAATCTTAAAATTGGAAGGAACTGAGAGACCACATCCGATCTTCCAAAGGAAGAAATTCCTACTACAAAATTATTGCCCTCTCTTTAAACAGTCTCAGTGAGAATAAACTACCTAGTAAGTATCTATTTCAGAGGCAGACAGTTCTAAATCTCTTCTCCATTTGTATTTATTAGTTGTCTGACCCTTTGTCCCTACTACAACATGAACTGACCCCTTTGCAGAATTTGACAATAATGCGTACATCTCATTTTCCTGGTTATCAGTCAGCCCTTGGCATGCCATTCTTTCCTAGTGGTAAGAGTGTGGGCTCTGTAGTCAGACTGTACTATTAAAATCCTGGTCCTGCCACTTAAAACTGTGTAAGCTTGGGCAAGTCAGCTAATCTCTCTAAACTTGTTTTCTCAAAGATAAAATGAAAAACAATACTACAACCTACCCCTAAATTCTTTTAAGGATTTATGTACATGTTTAACGCAAGGCCCAGAACATAGCAAACGCTCAATAAATGTTACCAGTTATCCTTATTCCTTTCCTTTCTGTTCCTTAAGTCTCGTTTGGTGATTCTTCTTCCACCCACATGTGAAAGGACATCCTTGTCTCCTTGCTTCTCCCTTTATGTTCTCCTAGTGTGATCTCTTCCATTCTTGAGTTCAACATGTTGAAAATACCCATATCTATTTTATTTAAAGCCAGGCCACACTCTTGAGCTACAGGAAGCTTCTACAGTTTGTGCCTTTACACGTTTTATCCGGAAAGTCCCTACCATCCTCTAGGGCAAGTGAACGCTTCCAGGTCTCATCATCACAAACTGAATTAAGTCTCCCAGGCTGTCTGCAGAGAACCTCATTCACTCCTCTACCAGCATAGTACTCTACCACATTGTCACCCTGGCTTTTTACTTATCTGTTCCTGGTAAAAACAGCAGCGAATGTTGTTGAGTGCTCATCACAGGCCAAGAATTATCACAAGGACGACCGCACAACTGGGTCGCACAGCTGACAGTCAATAGTCAAACTCCGGCAGTGTAATTCCACAGCCCATGCTGGTAACATCGCGACTGTAGTTAAAGACTGAACAAGTACTTACTGATTAAAACTACTAATTACGAAACAGGGGGAAAGGATGATTAGTCATCTAGTTAAATCTGGACTTTAAAGTGTCAGGGTAACGGGGCGCGCAGAGAGGTTCTAGTCAGGCCATTTAGATGGCTCATGGCCAAGTCCGCTAGGAGCTCAAAGAGAGGGAGGCAGAGAGCGACGAAGCCCGGGAAAAAGCAGGTGACGAGCGGAATGAAAGGCCGCTCTGGAGGAATGAGCGAGACGGGGCGGCCAGGGTTAAGGCAGAGCGTCTCGGATACGGTCAAATAACCCAGCGCAGAAGCCCTGGCGTTGCCTCCGCGCACTTACAGCTGGACTCGGACCCCCCAGACAAGCATCTCTTAAGGCAGCGGAGGCTGCAGCCTAAATCCCCCCTGCACTCGCCTCCCCGGCGATCACAGCTGCAGGTGGCGAGAGGACAGCGGCTCCAGCAGAGTGTGCGTGCTCAGTTCCCGCTTCCGGTTCAAACCTGGCGTGACCGCAAAGCGTCCCCCTCGGAAGGAAGGAATTCTCCCCCGGCAGCCGGGAACAGTCTGCCCATGCGCGCCAAAAGGCCCACGCTCTGCGTCCCAAACACTCGCTCCCTAAAACCCTTAGGCTCACCCGAGGAAACGCGCCTGCGCCTTGCCCACCAATGGCGTGCGACCTCGTGTTTGCTGCCCGCCGTCCGGCGCGGCTCCTGCGCTTGCACTCCGCCTCCTCGCCCCCTCAGCCCCACCTCTCCAAGTATAGGGACGGAAATGACGACAGTGCTTAGGGGAACGGAGGCGGACTTTATTTAGGCGCCTTTCTTTCTCCCTCCCGAGCGATTGGGCGTGGAGTCAAAGAGGCGGGACAGATTGCCGCGGGTTCTGTGCCGCCAGTGCAACCGGGAGATGCGGCGCCGGAGCTGTCGCTCTTACCTGAGTCTCGTCTCCTACTGCGGTTCGTTCTGCGGTCTGGATCATGTTGTTACCTTCGGACGTAGCCCGGCTGGTATTGGGTAAGCGCGGCCGCGGGTGGGAGGAATACTGGACCAGGCTGAGCGGGACGGAAGGACGTTTAGGGCCGGAGGTTTTCCCAGGGTGAGGAAGCCTCGGGGTTTTTGCTTCCCCGCCTACAAGTTCAGACTGGCGGTGGTTCTTCTTCAGCAGGAGGCTCGGGCTTCAGCAGGTTAAGCCTCTTTGTGTGTGGATGCTGCGCTCCTCAGAGGCTGCGTGGCGAGGAAGGGCTGCACGGAAGCTCGGGGTAGAACGCCTGAGGCCCAGATTCGGAGGGAAAGTCAGGCCTGCATACTTAATTGGGACCCCAGAAGGAGAGTCATCAACGTGATTGACGAGCTGCGTGTCTGACCTGGGACCAAATCAGGAAAAATACGGATTTCCTCAGCCACCCAGCTTTCTAGAAAAACCTCCTTGACGCCCTTCTCATAACTCGCCTCAACTACAAATCTGTAAGGAATAGGGGTGGATCTTCCCTCTCTACCCTCCTCCCAGTAATTCGTCTAGTATAGAAGTTTGAAATGCCAGTTGCATTTTTTTAAAAGCAACAGCAATTCTTGTTATTTATATTAGCAAGAAATTTCCTAGGCGAAATGCCTGCCCGTTGACGCTTTCTAGGCCAAGTTAGTTTTTCCTCCATTTGAGGAGGGTTAGTTCCGCGGCCTAGTTATCAGGGTGTATTGGCTGTATGGGAAACGGGTTTTTTGTTGTTTGTCCCCTGAAAAAATAGAGGATTGTACTGCTGGGAACTGGAGCCCGACACTATAAAGTTCAAAGCCTGAGCCAGTGATTTACAGGCATCATAGGCGACATCCCCGAAAGTAAATGGTAAACATCTGTGATGAAACTTCCCGTTGTCTCTACAGCCATTGCTACCATTTATTGTTAGAAAAATCCATTTCTCTTTTTTATTTTTTGAATATTCAGCCCTATTCCCCCATAATGGTGTTTGTGCACGGGCTCTTGATAAGCACATTTTGTGGGAAAGATTAGACTGTAATGTGTCCACCATCTCTTTTTGGAGAAACTAATGAATTAAGTTTAAAACAGTATTTTGTTGATGTTTAGTTAATCTCATGCCCATTTTATGGAGAACTGAGTATGTACAATTAACCTCTATATCTGTGAGAAAAAGCTAGCCATTTTGTAACTGTTATATTTACCAGGTTTATATGTAAACCAATTGAAAGTAGATTTTCACTGTGCTAAGATAACATTGACATACTTTTATTTTTTTCTGCCATGTGTATGTTTGCTTAAAAACTTTTGAGTTTTAGCAGTTTGGTGGTCCAGTTGAGTTTCAGTAACCATAGTCTTCTTCAACAAGGTCTCTCATACTCCACACTATTGACATTTGGGGCCAGGTAATTACTTATTATGGGGACTTGTCCTGTGGGATCTTTAGCAGCATTCCTGGCCTCTATCCATTAGATGCCAGTAGAACTCCCTACCACACCACAGTTAAAAGAATGAAAAATCTCCAGATATTTCCACTAGTAGGTTACTTGGGAGGCAAACTCCACCAGCTAAGAACTACTAGACTAACATCAGTATGATTTTCAAACTGGAATAATTGACTGTATTCTCCACAAACCAGCTTTGACATTTGTTTTTTAATGCACAAGAACTCCAAAGTCATTGTTTCTTATTATACTAAAATTCTTTGTCATTCACATTCTATTTTCACTGTCACCAATCTTAGCAGTATGCTCTACATAACTTTTCTTTAGGACATTTTTCGTGCCTTCTGTAGTCTTGCAATTCATCTTATTAACTGTTACACAAATCTGCCTAAAGCATTCACACTACACCTCCTATTCTAAAAGTTGAAACAATTGTGTACTTACTAAAAATACATTCTTTGTGCAAAAGAGTATGTAACAGAAAGAAAAGCAAATCTTATACTCACCAGTCTTTTTCATATAGTATTATATACCTTGAAGCTCATATCAGCATGTAAAGACCTAAAATTCCAAAATTTAGTGACTAATATAGTAACAGTTTTATTGTTTGCTCATGATTCTTCTCTTGTCAGTACCCCTTCCCCATCTTCAGTCCATCTCATGTTGGCTCCTTTTCTTCATAATGTTCTTTCAGCCAATTTTTGGGTGCTTAGTATGTTCCAGACACTAAATGCTAAAAATAGAGAAATTAGTTCTCTAACTTAGAGCTGACATAATTAGGGTTTTTTAACCTTACAGACACAAACACGCATGCACGCACACACACACACACACACACCACAAAACAATTTCCTAAGCCCCACTTCATATTCTAATGCTTTACATCATCATCACAAGTCAAAGTTAAAGAATAATAAACTCTGCTTAGATGCTGTACTACCTTATGTATCTCTGAATACTGCAGTGACTTGCTCCTTGTTGCTCCTCTTACACAGCTTTGCTACACAGCTACCTCCAGCTGTTGCCTTGCTGTAATTTCCTTAAATATTGTACAGTTGAAAATACATCAAAGTGTTGTTTATTGTCTCTGGACCACCAGTTTGGTTGTATCAGTGGCATACCAGGTGCTGTGTAGAACTGATCCTACCTCACTGTCCTGTTTGATACTCAGCTCAGCATCTGCCTATGTTCCCAGTATATCAAACTACTTGCAGTTTCTCCAGCTGTTCCTATATGTTGTATCCTTGCCTGTAATGTTTATCTCATTGTCTTTGTAGTGCAGTCATATTCAAGGTTTGGGTCAGATGTAATCTCTCAAACCTTTTCCAGCAGGTACAGTTAGTACTTTCACCTCAAGTGCTCCCACAGCATTCATTGCATGTTACTTCTGTTATACCCGTACGGTGTCTTATTGTAGATGTGGGTCTACTTCCCCTTTTTTTTTTTTTTGTAAAATATACCTAACAAAATTTAAACATTTTAACCGTATTTAAGTGTACAGTTCTGTGGCATTAAGTACATTCACATTGTTCTGTAACCATCACCATCATCCACCTCTAAACTTTATCTTCCAAAACTGAAACTTACCTTTTTATCCTATACAGTATTCTTAATGTGGGATTAGTGAACAAACTGCAAGTGTTCTGGGAGGCTCCAGAACTATACCGGTTTATGTGTAGGTGGGACATTTTTAAGAGAGTGAATAGTCTTTAGATTCCTCAATATGTTTGTTCCTTTCAGCATCCATTCCGGAAAACTAAAACCAATCTGAGATTTAACGTAGTAGGATTTAATGAGGGAATTGGTTTCACTAGTGATAGAAATGCCAAGAAGACAAGCAGCTTACATGAGCCAACTCAGAGGGTAGCAACACAGGAAGCCACTGTGGTAATCAGAAGGATAAAGAGAGATGAAGCATCCAGTGGCTGAGTTCACTGGAAGATGGAAGGTAGACTTGTCTGGTGAGGGAGCAGTAGTCAGAGGAGATTCCCAAGAGAAATCTCTGCTTCTAGGTTTCCCCAATCTCCATGATACCATCTATAATAGCTCCATCCATGTTGCAAATGGTAGGATTTGTTTTCTTCTTATGGCTGAATAATACTCAATTGTGTTTATGAATGACCTCTTCTTTATCCATTCCTTTACTGATAGACACTAAGGTTGCTTTGATATCTTGGCTACTGTAAATAGTGTGGCAATAAACACATGGGTGCATGTCTTTTTTAATCTGGGATCTTGTTTTCTTTAGGTAAATTCCTGGGAGTAGAATTCTTGGGTCAAATGGTATTTCTGTTTTCAGTTCTTTGAGGAACGTCCATATTGCTTTCCACTGTGGTTGAATTAATTTACATTCCCACCAGCAATGTAGGAGGGTTCCCCTTTTTTTGTTTCTTGTCAGTTGTATGTTGCCATCCTGCTGGTGTGAGGTGATATCTCATTGTGGTTTTAATTTGCATTTCCATGAGAATTAGTGATGTGGAGCATCTTTTCATGTACCTGTTGGCAATCTGAATTTCTTCTTTGGAGAAATGTCTGTTTAGATCCACCCATTTTTAATCTGGTTATTTGCTTTTTGGGTGTTAAGGCATGTGAATTCTTTATATATTTTGGATGTTAACCCCTTATTGGATATGTCATTTATGAATATATTCTCCCATAATGTAGGATGCCTTTTTGTTCTACTGATGGTGTCCTTTGCTGTACAGAAACTTTAGTTTTATGTAGTCCCATGTGTTCATGTTTGCTTTTGTTTCCCTTTCCCAAGGAGATGTGTTCAGGAAAAAGTTGCTCATGTTGATATTCAAGAGATTTTTGCCCATGCTTCTGTGAGTTTTATGGTTTCATGACTTACATTCAGGTCTTTGATCCATTTCAAGTTTACTTTTGAGTATGGGGTTAGACAGTAATCCAGTTTCATTCTCTTACATGTAGCTGTCCACTTTTGCCAACACCAGTTGTTAAAGAGGCTGTCATTTCCCCATTGTATATCCATAGCTCCTTTATTGTATATTAGTTGACCATATATGCTTGGGTTGGGTTTATATCTGGGCACTCTATTCTATTCCATCTTTCTATGGGTCTGTTCTTGTGCCAGTACCAAATTGTCTTGATTACTGTAGCTTTGTAGTAGAGCTTGAAATCAGGGAGTGTAATCCCCCAGCTTTAATCTTCCTTCTCAGGATTGCTTTTGGCTCTTTTTGTGACCTGGTATATGATCTATTCTGGAAACTGTTCCATGTGCACTTGAGAAGAATGTGTATCCAGCTGCTTTGTGGTGGAGTATTCTGTAGATATCTGTTAGGTCTGTCTGTTCTAATGTGTTGTTCAGTGTCTCTGTCTCCTTATTTTCTGTCTGGTTGATCTGTGCTTTGGAGTAAGTAGTGTGTTCGAAGTCTCCTAAAATGAATGCATTACATTCTATTTTCTCCTTTAATTCTGTATTTGTTTCACATGTAGGTGCTCCTGAGTTGGGTGCATAGATACTTACAATGGTATCCTCCTTTGGGCTGACCCCTTTATCATTATGTAATGTCCTTCTTTGTCTCTTGTTACTTTCTTTTTTTTGAAGTCTTTTTTGTCTGATACAAGTACTGCAACTCCTGCTTTTTTTTTCTTCCTATTATTTGCATGAAATATCTTTTTCCATCCCTTGACTTTTAGTCTGTGTATATCTTTGGATTTTAAGTGAGTATCTTATAGGCAGCATATAGATGGGTTTGTTTTTTTTATCCATTCAGTGACTCTATGTCTTTTGATTGGTGCATTTAGTTTATTTACATTTAGGATGATGATTGATTGATATGTACTTACTGCTATTGCAGGCTTTAAATTTGTGGTTACCAAAGGTTCAGGGGCAGCTTTTTTACTAACAGTCCAACTTAACTCGTTTACTATGCTATATCAAACATAATCTAAAGGGTTTTTTTCCTCCCTTCTTTTTCTTCTTCCTCCACTCTTTATTTATTAGGTGTCATATTCTGTATTCTTTGGGTATCCCTTGACTGCCTTTGTGGACAGTTGATTGAATTTTGGATTTGCTTAGTAATTAA